TTGACGGAGGGGGACTACAACAATATGACCCTCACTCTTCACACATAATGAAAGGTTCCACATGACGCGAGGCTAAATTTGTAGTAGTGCTTCAAAATTTCCATTACATAGCCACGCAGCGCTCCGTTCCACCTCTTCGGCATAAGCCATGCGTCGCTCTTTCTGGCAAAATCGCTGACGTGATGGTACATTGTCGACAGGATGCTTTGGGAAAACGACCCATGATCGAGAATTTTTTGCTGCTCCAAGGTTGCAGGACCAATTCAGCAGGGTTTAATGACCCGAGCTGGAAACGGTTGCTCATGGGTAAGGCGATTTGGCCCCTAGTTGGAATACAGTATTCCCCAAATCAAGCTTGTACGTCAAATTTCTGTCGCCAAGACCGCCGATAGTCTCATTTCCGACGACTGAAGAGTGAATCATCTGCAGGCTAAATGTCATTGCTCATTGTTTTGCTTAGTCTCTTGCCTCGCTAGGGCTACAGTAGCCCGACAACAACTGCGTTATTAGCATTAGTAAGCGCCCTTCCCGACCAGGCAACTACGATTCTGCGCTGAGAAAATTACCGTGACCCCTTCAAGTGTGCAACAGAACCGCTTCAACCGCTTCGATCTGCCTTCGCACTGGCTATATGCGGTTCTACGTGAGCGGATATGTGTTCCTGTCGTATCCTATGCGCCTTCAGTTTCAGGCGAGGATTCGTCTCCAGTCGGGCAAAACTGCACACTACCCCTGGTAGACCTCGAGGGAGACTCAGAGAAACTCAGGTGAATCCTCCCGTCGTCACGAAAGATTACATAGCTCTAAAAAATGAGGTTACTCACATAGTATTTTCCTCCCCAGTGAACGTGGTTCAGGTAGAGATCACCATCGATCGACAGATGAGTGATGCTGGTGAGTGGGAGACGATGCTCGTAGTCCTTGAACTCTTTCTGGTCGATAACAATCTGAAAAGAAAATATGAATTGCGCAGCCGGCGATTAACGGCAAGTGCTTTTATTAGAACATCGATCTAATGTGGCCTTAAAGGCACACTCCACGATGAGTTCAGGTGGACCAACCCCTCCGATGGGTATAATTGAGCTACGCACAATAGGGCAAAATCACGGATGCGCCGTTCTCCCAGCTGAAAGTGCGCAACGTCTTTCTCCAACTCGCGATCTGTAGATGTCTGCGCACTCTCACCTAGTGTACTCTTTCACCTGTTCTCTCCGCGCACACAAGGTCTGATTGCCTTTGCATGAGCTACAAAAATGCCGAACTGTAGAATGGAGAAGGCCCATAATACAAGCGTCCTCAACGGATTGTTGTCCTCTTTTCCTACACTCCATGTCCAGTTCATGCCACTGCTCTGTGCGCGGATATCAGGCAGAAAATCAAAGCTCTTTGTGACAATAATCTTGATATCAGCAAAAATCAGAGCAGTTTGATCGCAGGATCTTTTTCTTCTCCCTAGCGTTCTCCCGTGCAATCGCAGGGCCGGCAGTTTGATCACAAGATAGGCTTTTGATGAACAATTCTGAATTCTGCAGTCGGTTTTCAAGTCTTCAAAACCCTTCCCGCGGGTCTGAAACGCAATAGGCCGCCTTCCACAAATTCGACCTGCCGCTGCTGTCCATGTTCGAACATAAACAACGTTTTTTCTACGGTCCCTTGCTCTTGCGTAATATCGCCTACCGTAGCCAACGCTTGCCTTCCATCGCCCGCACGCTTGAACCACTTATATTGTTCGGAATCATGTCGGTTCCCTGAGGGGTACAGGGCTTCTGTCAACCAAAGGGTGAGAGCGTAGATGGAAAAGCACACACTTTGTGTCTATTGGGACTAAGCCTTTTGAAGGAAATAAAGAAAGAGGAGATGCTGTGATAGTGTGCACTTGTGAGAGCTCCCAGACATCACTACAAAACGCTGAATTGCCAGCCTCACGGTTGACAGAAGTCCTGAGACCATCCCTGCGAGATGACAGGAGGTAGGAATCGCAGACTCGATGGAAAACCCGACAATTACCCCGACAAAGTTGATATCATGTGGGGTCTTGATGCTATCCGATGCCACTCGCGTAACTATGCCCATAATGACGGCGGCCCCGCAGCGAGATGGGGTGTGAAACGTGTGAAAATTATATAACTGAACAAAAAGCTTTGCAAAAAGGTTGTACCTGGAAACGGTCATCATGGGCGCGAATTCGAATGTCGAACGAGTCTCCTTTCTTGATTGGGAGTGATTTACGCTCTTCCTTTCCCCATTCACCATTTGCGAACGTGTTCATCACAACCTGAAACGACGAGTAGGGTTACCCAGGGTAACCGTTTTCTATTTATACTATTTATAAATATTTGATTTTTTATTCGTTGGTCGACCGATTTATAATAGTCGCCACCTCGCCACTGTGGTATACGCCAGGATGTGGCTATCCATCAAATTAACTAGCTCGAGAAAAAAAGATTCATGGCGAACTCGAAACCTCTTGAGTTAGTGGTTTATGAAAGGTTAGGTTATGTTGCGCAAATTAAGTTAGGTTACCGTTTTTTCTTGCCGATTGTGGCCAGTTCAAGGGCAAATAAGCAAATAAACAAACAGTATAGGTAAACAAATAAACCGGTAAATAAGCGCTTGTGAGCGGCATCTTTCCCGCTGTAAGATGGTGACTTTACGCACAATTTGATTAAATATTTCCCTCCTACAAAGTTACCGTATCCGCCCTATTATTCTCGTCGGGACGACCAGTAGGCTCTACCCGTAACCGGTAAGACAACTGTTCCTGATGTCTCACATGCAAAAGCCGATTACCTGAGCGTTTCAAGTCCCGCAGCGCTTTGGTAGAGTAAATTACTAAGGGTTCTCTGCAGCACAACGGATTCTTATGCTGTTCAAAAACGCAAAAACGCGCTATCGCAAGATAGAGGGCATAGTGGTGACAGTGCCTCTAAAAGCGAGACTCATCTCTGTCTTGTTGAAAACTAAGCCTTAAGCGGACGAGAAGAGACTTTAGGGAGCGTGGGTTCTCCAGGGACGTTGTTCTTCCTAGGCTCATTGTTAGTCCTATAACATGCCCACGTATTTTGTGATTGTGCCCGAAAAAATTCAGGTAGGTAACTACACATATTTGCAAGAAAAAAGGTTCATTTGACAATCGTAACAGATGATCGTGCATTGGGACCCTCTCAAATGGTATTACTATCGGTTTTCACCACCGTTCAACTGGCGAACTTCGGCACCCGAACCGAAAGCGTTTCACTTCTGGGAGAACGTCTTCACCTTTCTGTCCCGATAGTTTTTCTCCATACCAAACTACGTGGCG